GTTTCCTCAAGGGCTGGGGCTGGAGACACGGTGCCCAGCTGGCCTGGAGCCCGAGGCAGAGGGGCTGGTGGAAAGAAGCCAGGATGTGCTGAGCTGGCAGGCCGGGCGCTGCCTGCGCGCAGCTCTGCGGACGCTTTATGTCTTCAGTGTCCTCACCTTGTAGGGAAGTAGTAGCTTGTGTTCTAACCAGCTGTCCCTGGGTGTGATGTTTCACATGATTTACTAAAGGGGGAGCACATTTGTTTCTCCACGCAGACGCCGCAAGAGAGCCCCCGTGATGAATGGAAGAGGCAGCGGCACAGCGACCAGGACGCTCTGAGCCCAAAGAAGGGAGGGAGGAGGGGAGGGGCCGCAGCCCAGGCGCCTCTGAGGGGAGACCCAGCTGAGGGTGGAGGAGGGATGTGCTTGTCCCTTAGCCCAGACTCAGGCAGGGGGTGATGAGCGGAACTCTGCACCAGCGCAGAGGGCCAGGCAAACACAGCCCTGGCTCTGCGTGATCTGTAGAGGCCCCGTTAGCACACAGAGGCCGGGGAGTAAGGGTGCACTCGGGGATCAGTCTGCATTTTCTCAGTTTCCTCATTTATCTTTAAAAAAAAATACGACCAATAGGGAATCAGCAGTTAGCGTAATGGATATGTTGCTGGACTCCCACGTAGTCGCCCACGGTTCGCATCCAGGATCCGGTGGCTTAAAACCCACGCCGGGGGGCGTGTGCGTGCGTGCCCAAGATCTCGAGAGGAGAATGGAGGAGAAGGGATTTTTGTCTCTATGCCTCTGTCTGGCGGGCGCGTGCGCCCTATAGCGAAAACTTCTCAAAAAAAAAAAAAACCGACCAAGAATTGGCATAATGGCTATGTTGCTGGACTCCCATGTAGCCGGCCACGGTTCGAGTCCTGGACCGGGTGGCTTAAACTCACACCGGGCGCGTGTGCGTGATTGCCCAAGATCCCAAGAGGAGAATGGAGGAGAAGATATTGTGGCGTGGCCATCCCCCTGGGGGGTTATTTCTCGCTTTCTGTCTGTCTGTCGAGCACATGCCCCCTATAACAAAAACCTCTAAAATAATAATAATAACAAATGGAAATAAATAAATATATATATATTTCGGCAACTTGGAGAGTCCTTGGCCACAGCCTCACCCTCCAGGAGACTGAGTGGATCCCTAAGCCAGGGTAGGAGGGTAGGAGGGAGGTGGGGGAGCTAGCCTGGTCTGCGGAGGGAAAAGCGACCTTTTCCTGTGGGAGGACACCTGCAGGAACAGTGAAGTTGCAGGGACCTGGCAGTACCCCTAGGCCTGAAGGGATAAGGAAGAGGGGGGACTTCTGAACCCCAGAGAGAGTAACTATAAGGTAGGAGAGTGGCCGTCTGGGACACAGACAATTTAAGGTGGCATGGTGGGGAGAGAGTGGAGGGACCTGACCTCCTGCCCTGGGTCTCTGGCCTGCTGTTCCTGAAGTTGGGGCTTACACAGGTCAGCCTCCTGGGGTGCAGGACGGGTGCAGGGGCTGGTGGAAAATGGATTTGGAAGGCCCGAGAAGGACCACCAGACACAGTGAGTGGCCCATAGGGGTGGTCTCTGCAGGAGAGGGGAGGGAGGAGGGCCTGGCCACTCTCTGCTGGCATTTCTAGGATGGTGGTTTGTGATTTTTTTTTTTTCCATTGGACTGAGACAGAGCAAGCAGCTAGAGAGGCTGATGCGGGTCCCTGGTTGCAATTCCAGCTATGTTGATGAAATGTAATTTAAAAAAAAATTAATTTATGGGACCAGCAGGTGGTGTAATGGTTAGATTGCTGGATTCCCACAGAGTAGACTGAGGTTCGAGTCCTGGACTCGACAGCTTGAAACTCATGCTAGCCGCATGTACGTACATGCCCAAAATCCCGAGAGGAGAATGGTGGAGAAGGGACTGTAGCGTGGCCAGCCCTTCCCCCCCCCCCGCACCTGGTGGGTGATTTCTTATTTTTGGTCTCTCTGTCTCTCTGGCAAGCACATGGGCCCTATAACATAAAAAAAAACCTCTCTGAAAAAAAAATTAATTAATTATGATCATTATCATTATTTGAAATTTGTCATAGGGCATGGGCACTCACTAGACAGAGACAGAGAGAAAGAGGGAAAGTGAGAAAGCAAGCTGCCAGGTCCAGGACTCAAACTGCAGTCAGCCACGTGGGAGTCCAGTGCCTTAACCGACACACCACCTTCTGGCCCCCCGACATGTGATTATTAAGAAAGAACCCTTCTTTCATGCTGCAAGTGACCCACTGCAGCTCTCGTACGACAGTTGCTGCTGCCTGAGCCCAGGCAGGGTTGAGACACCTTCTTTGCTGATGACAAGTTCTCATTGTTCTAGATGTTTCTTATGTATCCCTTTAGACCCCACATCAGAGCCAATTCTTCTGAGAAGCATCCTCTGGCTTATCCTGCCTCCCCAGAGAAAGGGTCGATATCATTGCACCCAAAGTTGCCCAGCACTGTGCTCGTTCACGTCATTCACTGTATTATCGGGAACCCCCCTGACTTGGGACTGGCTCCTCTCCGGAAAGCCAGCGTCTGGACAAGCTCCCGATGCACATTTGTGCTTAATAAACAACCACTAAGGGACCAGCAGTTGGCGTAATGACTTTGTCCATGGACTCCCC